AGGCCAACCTATCCCAAACATGGAGCCAATTGCCAAACCCAAGCCAGTAAAAAAAAATTATTTTACTTAAATGAATACAATAAATTATTTTTTAACCCATGAAGTAACTAATATAACCTGATGGGCTCAGTGTAAGATTAAAAACAAAAGAGACTATAATAATGGTCTCATTCTTACTCTTTTTACGGGTTCGGATGTGGTACTTGCACCTATTCCAAATTGTCTAATTTCCCCAAATTACCCAAACTTGTAAAAATAATATGTTTTCTTATTTTAAATAAATAGAAAACTCATCAACCTATAAGGTAATTTAATGGAAAAAATTGGTTGATTCTTTTTAGTTTTTTTGGGGAAAAACACGGTCATCAATGTCTTTCATTTGTACTATTAAGTAATTATTTGAAAATTTACCCAATAATACTAACGGCGTCACCGATAACGGATCCAAAAATTCTTGTTAGAGTGAACCAAAATAAAATGTAATAACATATAATATTCATATTTTATGTTTTTAGTTGAAATTGACATAAAAAGAAAAAAAAATTACATATAAATATATATATATTTTTTTAATTTGGGATATACTCTAGATCCGCCCTTGGGCATCACCAAACACGTCATCAAAGATAACTCCGATGGGCGATGGATGTTAGTCGGTGACACCAACAACTTTTTCATAAGTTTTGGTTCAAGATTTGGATGTTCTCATCACTCTCTATACTTAAAAAAAAAAAAATGCAGGTGAATGATATAATTTTGAAACTATGAAGAAGGTAATTGAGATTAGAGAAATTTACTTATATAGTAACACTGATTAAAAATTAAAATGAACAAATAACCCAATCCTAAATTGAATTGTAATCAAGAACCTTCACATGATTTTTGTAATTTATTTGCCTTCATCCTCGCAACCAATCAACTCCAAAGCCACGGATTGCATGGATTCAAGCGACTGAGATAACACAATCGGAATCAAAGCTAAACGTTGGTTCATCATCATTTTGAAAATATCAAGTTGTGTGCATATTTTAGGCTTAATTGGGAGAATTCGTGAATCTCATAAGGAGGAAAATAGATTGAAATCCAAAGTTGAGAATTTTGGATAGAGGAAGCTTGGATTTGACCTTGTTCCAAGAGATGGAGTCAAAGGTAACTATTTTTTCCAATTTGAAGCTTGATATTTAGGGATTTAGTTACGTTATTTTAATTAGGATTTTAATTCTGAGAGGATTTATATCTAAAATCCTCATAAACAACTTTAAGAAATTAACTGAAAGTCCATGTCTTTCAAATCATTAATGGAATACCAATTCCACCCACCATTATTTTCCACTCACTATCAAGACATGAATGGTGGAAATCATTGTATTTACTTTGCATAGACAAATAAGAAATAATGAATACTACTAAATACACAATTTTTCTTTATATTGTTAGATTAAATTCTCATGAATTTCCATAAGCTAACATATTGAACAATTAAATTAAAATCATTACAATGTTTAATATTGCAAGACTCAAGCCACTTGAGCGCTTGACTCGATCGACCAAACTCAAGCCATTCAATTGACTAGGCTCGAGCCACTGGAGTCACTGGACTTAAGCAACTCAAGCGATTGGTCTCAAGCCACTCAAGTTTATTCAAAAGTTTTGGATAACAACTCAAAAACTGATTTGCATTTCAAGTACACGAGTTTTTATATCCAAACACTTATACAATTACATACATTCAACCCATATGAAAATAATATATATTCACATATACAAATAGGAAAGAAACAACATATTTAACGAGAACAAAATCTTGAAAAATTACTTCTATACTTGATGAAATATTATTCTTTGTGTATCAATTTTTTAGCTTAACAATGTGTGTTGTAATTAGGGTGTCAAGGTAGATTGAAGTAAAAGTGAGATGGAATGGGTTATCGAGAGAAATTGAGAAGAGATGATTGATTGCGATCCCAAATAGGGGTGATTATTAGAGTTTTTATCTGACCGATAGTTTCAAGTTCTAGAAGACTAATTGAGAAGAGTGCAAGCTGGTCCGAACACCCTAGGTCATAAAAAAAAAAAAAAAAAAAAAGGGTTATAATAAGGTAAAATTGAGTAAGAAGATGTGAAGGAGAATCCTATTCCTACACACTCATGATCTAATTCAAACAAGAAGTGAAGGTGGTGTCCACCATTATATAAAAAGTAAAGTAAAAGTCTAATCCGTCCCTTTACTTTTCTTAATTAATGTTTACATTTTTGGATAGCTTCTTTTTCCTCCTTAATTTTGCCTTATAAAGCACCTATATCATATCTCCCTTTTTCTTTTATATTGGTGCGTGCCCTTCACGCTCCTTCCATTTCTATCCCTCCCCCTCCCTTCTTCCCAAATTGCTGATGTCATTTGACGTTATTGCTTTGTAGGGGACATCCTTACTCTTTCTATAGATTTTCATAAGATATATCTTAGTGACCTCCCTTGTAGTTTTAAACTTTACACTTACATCCCTTACTTTCTTCCACTAGTTAAATAAGTTTTGAAATTCCATTAGCAAAATAGCGTTTATAGTTTTTGTCCCTCAAAATTCATGATTATTTCTTCTAAATTATTTTATTTTAAATAAAGTCAAAGTAGTTAAAATAATGTTAAGACTACTAATCAATAAATGTTAATTTCATTATTTTTATTTAATTTTCTTTCTTGCATGTTCTTATTAATAATGTTGTAAGAACCAGCCAAATTCATGAATTTATTTTATTTTTTTCACTTGATTATTAGAATTGCAGTGATTCTCAGCTTATACACATAGTTAGAATTATAAAAAAAGGGGGGGTGGAAGAGAACCCAAAATAATATTAATTTTCGGCACTCCTTTTCTACGAAACAATATTACAAAAAAAATAAATAAATAAAAACATTAAAATTCTTCAATGAAAAAAAAAATACAAACCCATTAGACCAATAATAATTTAATGATTAAAAAAAATGCTTAGCTTGGCGAAGCTCAATTTTCCCTACTCAAAGGGTAAAAATTATATTATTTAAAACTTAGAGAGGTCATTGAACCCACCAATTTTGCTTTACTATGCTCAGATAATTATTACAAATCTTTTATTATTATTATTATTATTATTATTATTATTTTATTGTAACGAAAGCCTTGAAATAGGTTTAAAGAATTTTTACCATTCCAAAAATAAGTAAACCATACCGAATGACACTTACTATTTCAATAATCACATAAATTAAATAAAGATTTCATCTATCTTAATCATGTTATAATATATTCAAATTGATTATATCATATGAACTTTTTATTTAAATCCTAACCGTATAATTATTTTTTATGGATTGAAAATTTTACGAGTAATATCAATGTTTTATATGATCATGTCACAATATAGGTGTAATAGTGTTGTTCAACCAATATTTTAGTTATAAATAACAGTATTTTTGTTTTATGACACCAAGTGTACCATTTTTCAATTAATTACTAATATATAATTATTTTATATTATAAGGTTACTAAAATTTGGTTAAATGTAACAATCTAATGACATTGTACCATATGATGTCCTCATTTTATGTTATAAGAAGATGATTTTCAAAATCTCAAGCATTATTTATTATTAAAATTAATATTTCAATTATAAAATGTGATATTGGCAATATTGTATTTTTGGGAGAATTTTGTAAATATATGAGGTTTGCATTAATTTCAAGCATATAAAAATGTCCATTTCTAATCATAATCACAAACCACCCATGCCATTAAAACGTCACCGTTGAGCTGTTTTTTTTTTCTTAAGACCATCTTACCCTTATAGTTGGAAAGAAAGAAACACTCACCGCCCACTGCAAGTCTCGGTCAATTTGACCATTTTTACCTTTAAAATAGTAAATTCACCCATTTTATTAATTATCATAAAAATAATCTGGTAGTTTTCTAAGTTTATAAAGAACTATCAAAATTTTAATATATATATTTATTTAATTATAACCTTCATCTCCATTCCATCCGAATTGGATTTTTCATTAAATCATATCAGATCTTTTAATAACCCAAATTGGACTCAATTGCTAACCAAAGCTCAAAACTAAATTAATAATAATAAAAATACTGTTTTTCTAAGCAAAAACCCATTCAAAATTCAGGATAATTATATAAAAAAACAGAACCTCCAAATGTTTTGTAATTAGTAGTAAATATTCACACTTGTAAGAAATAAGACCTTAATCTTTATTCCATCAATGTTTTTATACCTAGACCAAGTCTTGACCCGTTGATCGAGTTTGGTCCTCGGGTCGGGCGGCCTGACTGGTATGACCTGTGTGCCAGACCGATGATGTCAACTTTAAAAATTAATAAATTTCTAAAATAAGTCCATCCAAATCTAAAATCAAAACCAAAATAAATAAAATAAATCCAAAATTGAAATTCAAAGAATTTTAAAATATGCTATATTGATGTTATGCTGGCATCATTGGTATGAGTGTCTAGTCCAATTGGTCAGACCGACGATTCGACATTGTTCCACCGATTCAATCTTGGGTCAATCTGGTCCAACTGTTATAATCAAGTTTAGGATATACTCGAACCAAACAAGGGTCCGAATCTCGGTCGAACCGATCAAATTGGTCCGAGTTTAGACAATGCATACATCTTCGTAAGGTTTGATTAATTAACATTTAACAAAAGTCCTTTTAAGATTTCAAAAATAATAAAAATCTCTTCATTATTAAATTTTAAATATTAAAAAGATACATTAGTAAATATTAATAAGCCAATGACATATACATATATCTTAACGCTTAAAGAAAATTTAAAAAATATCAGATAAATATTTGTTATTACATATATGGAATGTAAGGCCGATATGATTTAACTAGATAGAATTCTTCACTCATAGCCGGGGTAGAGATGTCATTTCAAGTGGAAGAAATAATAATGGAGGTGTAGATGTACGGTAGACATTCGCATAATAAATGGGGGAAATGGAATCAGTGAAGAGATACAAAGAGAAGAAAAGAACAATCTGGCTGCTCTGCTCACTCTCACGTCTATGCCAAATATAGAGCAATAAACAAAGAAGATAAAGTTACTAACTTAAACAAAGCAACTACAGAAATAAACACTTCCATTTGTTTAAGAAATACAACAAACCCCACCCCTCCCCCCAAACAAAAATAAAATAAAATTAATTAATATAAAACCCAGCAAAACCAAGCAAAGCCCATCACTGGTAAGTGTGCAGATGCAACCAACAGCTGCCGGAAGTAGCAGCTCAAACGCCGGTGCTGGCGGAAGTGGAGGTGCTGCTGAACTGAGTCGAGGACCTGGACTTGCGCGGTTCCGCTCAGCTCCAGCCACTTGGTTAGAAGCTCTTTTAGAAGAAGAAGAGGAAGACCCATTGAAGCCTAACCAGTGCTTGACTCAGTTACTCAATAGTGGCGGTGCAGCCGATCCAGGACTCAGTCAATTGGAGCCGGTTAGTTTTCAGCGCCAAAGCGGCTCTCCTGCGGATTTATTTGATGGGTATTTTTCAAACTTTGGAATCCCAGCCACTTACGGTTACTTGTCTCCAAATATTGATGTTTCCCCCTCCAGTAAGAGACCTAGAGATGAAAATACTCAACAATCTTCGCCCAAGTTTCAGTCCCATTCGGTAAGCTAAGTTTCATCAGTGTAAGCTGCTTAATTGTTCTTCAGTTTCAATGTCTATTTGTGACATCCTGGCCTATTGTTGAAGTTATGGGTTCGAATCAAGAGGGACGCACTCTAAACTCCACTATCTCGACAGTGGGCCGGGATGTTACTCTATTTCTTTTTTCAGAGCCAGAAATCCCTCGACCTCACGAAACTTGTGGGATTATAATAATGGCTATTGGTGGCCTTGAGGGGATTTGAACCCTTTACCTCAAAGCTGGATCCTATGGGGATTTTATTTTATCTTTGTTTTTTGATGAAATTTGGAAATGATGGCAAAGGGTTGTTTTGTTTAAGAAAGAAATTGAGTTAGTGTTATGTGGTGGTTTTGATTTTTGGTAGAGAGGAGAGCAAAGTGGTCAGGCACGGGGTGGGGTAGCAGGGTTGATGGATATGGATATGGAGAAACTTTTGGAGGATTCAGTGCCTTGCAGGGTGCGTGCGAAGCGTGGTTGTGCTACACATCCTCGAAGTATTGCAGAGAGGGTAAGAAGTCAGTTTAGCTCTGCTGAATGTGGCAATTTATGAATATGTACTGTATGTGTTTGAGTTAAGCTCTATCTAAGAATTTCTATTTTGTTTGTTAGGTTCGGAGGACACGAATTAGTGACCGCATAAGAAAGCTTCAGGAGCTTGTGCCAAACATGGATAAGGTAAATATTTGGATTTTATTGAGAAGAGAATTCTTTGAACTCAAAGATTTTAGTTAATTAATTTTGGTAATGGCTAATAGGCCATAGGGACATCTGTATACCTAACTAAAATCTCACAAATTCTGCTGAAATGTAGGATACAATAGTTGAATCATTTTTGTAAGATTGAAATGACATGGAACGTTAGATATCTCATTTAGACCTATAAAATTCACATATTTTGTTTTTAGAACCACTAAATATGCCTCTCATTTCCGTGCTTAAATTGTACCTTTTAAATGTTTTACAGTTTCGTTATGTGCTAATAGTCTAAAGTGATTTTGTTTGGGTTAGGCTTCCAATAGTTCTTTGATACTCACATTGCCTGAGATCAATCTGGCTACTGATTTTTGTCTCATCTAAATTATTCTTTTGAAATCTAGCATTGATTGTGATATTTGACTGTTGAAAAATCAGTAGAAAATTGAAATCAAATATCATAATAGAAGCAGAAGAAATTTTAATCGGCTTACCTGATATTTTGTTTGTGAGGATGAGAATCACCTAATTTATTGAATTTATAAAAACAACGAGAACCTACTTTCTTTTCAAATGCTCTCTGTTTCATCTCTAAACCATAAGGTTACAAAGAGTTACATTATCCTAAACATGTCTTGAGGTAGTCCCCAATCTTTGCAAAGCCATCTCAATTGTCTTCCATGGTGCAAGTTTATGTTATGAATTACATTTATCCTAATTCAATATTTTCTTTACCCAAGATGATAAGTTTTGAAATATAATTTTCAAGAGTCATATTGGTAAAGGATTCAATTCTTTAAGAAACCTCACAAAGATATGGACTAAATACATATATTCTTTCTCCCTAGTTCTGTCCATCAAGCACCTAGAAGATGACCTTGGTCTTTCTTTTCAAACCTTCTTGATCGAAACTTGTAGACCATGCCTGTGCGTCTTGAAAGAAAAAGGAAGAGAAAATGGAACAAATGAAACCTTTGCCAAACTCGGGCCTGGGCTCCTATTAAATGGATATTGAGTTAAAAGAAAACAAAAAGGGGAAAATGTTGCTGCAGTAGGAGTATTGTATACAGAAGGTACTTAAATTAAACGTTGTAATGTGATTAGAAACATAGTTGGAAATATATTGCATCCCTGATCATTTATGATAATGTTAGGAACGAAGTAGATCAGATTTCTCCGATATTCTAAAAAATGAACTGAAGATCTACCTTTTCTGTTTGTATGCTTAACTGATTCAGAAATCTATTTCTCAATTATAATATCTACTTATACTTTTGTACATGGAAGAGAGTAAGAAATAACTCTTTTTCTTTTCCGTTTTCTTAGAAATACAATCCATCTATGTATATTTTTTCGTCGATTAGATGTCACTGTAATAATTTCTGTACTAGTATAAACTTATCTATTTTAGTATCTCATCAATTAAGATAGTTTTATATGTTTGTTGAAGAATTGCTAATCTCTTGATGAACTGCAAGTTCTTATTTTCCACTTTGTTTCTCTACTAACTAGTTACGTGCAAAGGTAAGGGATTTAATAAAATTTCTAAAAGACCTAGAAATAGAATATCTAAACTAAGAATAAGAATATCTAAAGAATGGGATCTAGATCAATTTGTAATTTGATATTAATAAAGGACATTTTATGGAAATATTTTTTGGTGGAAGACAAGTAGAAATTTAAAGCAAAGGGTACGTGATAACTCAGACACTGTTAGCCATATATTATGCGGCAATAAGAACCTAAAAATTCCTAAATTATTTTTGATTATTAGTTTCTTAATGCCGCATAATATATAAGGATAGAAATCAATAGAGCCCATTGAAAGTCACTCCAAATTCCCATAAGGACATCTGGCCAAGCTACATATAGAGTACAAGGATTAGTTTCAGAATCTTGAAAGTTCACTGTCGTTAAATTCTCTCTCTCTCTCACACACACACACAGAGACGTGTGTGTGTGTGGGTGCAGGCAAAAACAGCTTGAGGAGTGAAAATGGTTGGATTTGTGGGTGAGAAAGGCATACTTAAGAAATAAGGAACAAAAGAGGTGTCTTATCTACAATAGGATAGCGGAGAACGTTAACTTTAACGGAATTACAAAGGTGGAGTATGACAATGATGTTGTGAAGTTATGTAATCAAGAGACATACCTGGAGTATTAAGTTTATTCTCATGATCTTGGAAGTACACTCTTGTTGAGTGGTGTTCTCTCTCTCTCTGCACACGGGTGAAATTAGTTAGAATATTGGATGAGAAAGGTGTGCTCAAGCAATGGTAAATTAAAGTGGCACTTTTCTTTTTGTTTTTAGCTATAATGATACTATGGAGAACTTTAACATCGGAGAATGTATGATGTTGGAGTATGTTAATGAGGTTGGAAGCCAACAGTTTAAGAGTAGAGATGAAATTGATTAATTAGTCTTTAGGATCGTCCCCATAATTTTTTTTTTTGATGTCTGACACGATTTTTTTTAATATATGAGGCTATTTTGAAATTAGCTAAGTCTACACCTTGAACCAATTGAATTGCTGTTAGGATACTAGGGCTCTAGTAATGACAAATTTTAAAAAATAGAACTACAAAAAATTTTGAAAAAATTGAAAAGAGGTAGGCTACTACTTCGAGGGGAACTTCCTCTGGGAGCCAATGTTTATTATTTTATTCCTTCATATTATAATTGATAGGGTGTTGGTTGGAATTTTTAGAACTCTATACTAAAAACAAAAATAAACAACACATGAAAAAATAAAACAAACAAGTAATTTAGAAGGAATTATAAATTAAATAGGGTATCCCATCTCCAGTGTCAACGAAAAAGGAACTACAGATTCACAAATATATGTGATTCCTGCCCTCAAAGTCAGCCTTGTCCCCAAGTCTATCAACTAAGTAAGATTATGGTTTCATCAATCTCCATCCTGTGCATTTGAGTAGTTGATGCCAATGCCATCAAAATCTCCAACTATTTCCACCATTAAAAGTCTCTTTTTGTTGTAATGATGCCCTTTTTTCCACTTTGCATCACAACACCAACATAATCTCGTAGCTATCCGCTCCTTGAGCCTTTTTTTCCAACAGTCTTTTTTGGTTATTTTGAATGATTATTTCAGTTCTTTGTCCGAGGTCTTGTCAATAGCATCCCACAAATAATAAGTCTCCTCATTGATTTTTCTTCAAGCATTCTAGCAAAGGATATAGTGCTTGTCACTGTTCAAGTTTGTACGTCTTAACATCGTGTCTAATGCTAGAAGGAAGGCCTTCAGTAAAGGTCCTCATTGTTTGATGTTGAGACCAATCCTGAGTTTTATTGGATAATCACTCAAAATGACCTTGATCTTCCAAAACAATTGTTGTTTGTAAAATTTTAGCTAATTCCTCGTCCATATTCTTATTTTTAGAAAGACCAAGTCACAGAATAAGACCTTCCATATATTTATCCCATGTATAACATGACAAAATTGAAACCACTCATACCATTGGATGGAGAAGCGGTCAAGGTTTATGGAAGCCATCTCTACTTTCAACATCTAGTGTTTGATTAAAATGAAATAAGAAAAAATAAAGAGAAAATGTACTTATGCACGAGATATCCATCCTATAGGACCACTTCTTATTATGGAAACTCCACTTTCATACGACAATGTTATTCTTGTTGGTTAAGGATGTCATGTCAGGTGGTTCAGCATGTTTTGTAATTGACACAAAATCTGAACAATTCATTCATGATATGTCAATAAGCACCTGTGTGAATGTGCTAACCTTGAGGGATCTGCTTTTTATCAAGTTGTCTTAGGAGCTTTAGTTCTTGTCTCCCTTCTTGTGAAATTTCGGGCAAGTATTGGTAGGAGCCATGGGGTATTACAACTTGTGGAACTCTAAACTAACAATAAAATGAATCAACATTCTAGAAAAGTAGAAAAAAAAAAAAAAAAAGGAATTATAAATTAAAGAGGACATCCTTCACAAGGTCAACTATGGAAAAAAGGAAAATATAGATTCATGGAATTTCATCAATTGCCATGTGTACTTATAATTATTTTTTTCTTTATGTTCATGTTGCATTCATGGTTTTGGTGGTATTTGATCTCATGGCTTGCATGCGAGGAGCTATATTAGGAACTTAAATACGATTGTTGGTTCCGTATTTACATGCTTAAGCTTTTGGATTAAATGATAACATAAAATTGTATCACAGTTTACAATTTTACAGCAATGTTTGACAAGAATGACCTCATGTTTTCTTATTAAAGAAATTAAAGTCCTTTCCTGTATCGTTTGTCTGGATATTGTAATTTGCTTTTCGACAAGGAAACTAATCAAATTAATTATCATATTTTTTTTTTCTGGTTTGCAGCAAACAAACACTGCAGATATGTTAGAGGAGGCAGTAGAATATGTCAAGTTTCTTCAAAAGCAAATTCAGGTACTACTAACATTGAACTTGCTAATTATTTATTTAATTTCGAAGAGAAGGCTTGTACAAAATTAAAGTTCTGGAGTCTAACAACCTTACTGGTCCCCTCTGTTATAATTTTTCTTTCATTTTCTCATCTTCTAGTTGAACAAGTAAATGCGTAGATGCATTGTTGTTAGACATTGAAATCGACCTTTTGATTTAATTTCTGACTCCAGTACAATAAAAAGGAAAATCTTTGTAATGGCAGGAACTCACGGAGCATCAAAGGAATTGCAAATGCATAGAGAAAGATTAACCTGAAGAAGGTACCAGATAATGTAATTATTAGATATATAAGGTTTTGGTCGGGATCTATCATTGTTGTTTGCAATAATATGTCACCATCTTGTGTTTTAGCTTCTTCCTTTATATTAGATGATTGCCTATTTTGTGGGTTCAATATAACCATAAAGTCCATGATCAGGACTTAATTCATTTTGGCAAGAACTGTTGTTTGAAGTTCACTGATGTGGTTGTAGTTGTAAATTTATTGTACACAATAATATAATTTAAATGTACCACCTAGCAACCATTTTTTTGGTTATTAATAATTTCTTTGTATTCCGGAAGAAACATGAAGGTATTCATGTACTAAATTTATCATTCTATATATATATTCATTATTTCACTGCCATAACTCTCGCACCTTCTCACCAAAGCTTTTGTTGTTGCAAGAAAAATCATATTCTATATCTACTGCCTTTGAAACGTGACCATCACATTATCCCAACCTTAAAGGCAAAAGGGAAAGAAATAATAGAAACAAAAAAGGTAAAGGTATGCATAAATTCTTTGAATTTGTTGTTTTAGAATTTGCATTCAGACCTAAATAAAATACATATTTCTTTGAAAAAATGTTTGAATTTTGAGAAATTATAATAAATTCCTCATTTTGACGAGTATGTTTTGAAAATCGACCCGAACAATGACTTGGTAAAGGAGTCGAGTCTCGAGTCAGGCGGTCCAACTGGTCTGACCCATGGATCGGATCAGTGACAACTCATCATTATTTATTGTACCCCATCACTCTCTTTCCACGGTAAAAATGTAAATTAAAGTCACACTTATCCAACGCTCAACCACACTCAATAACTTTATCTTCTAGAATCTACTTCACCCAACCCAACCCTAATAAATTTAATTTTCTTATTTTTGACATTAATTATAAATTTTAACATGAACAGATATTTAATAACTTGTTTGCAAACACTCTATCCCCACATTTCTTCTCTCTACCATTTCTCTCTTTACCTTCTTTCTTCCCCCTCTCTCTCTCCCTTAACCTGAAATAGAGGAAGTAGAATCACCAAAGAAGTTTTAATGTCCACCCACGGGCCACCTCCTCTAAAAGCCTTATCTTTTCTTTTTCTGTTAAGTTTTCAATTTTCTTAATTATTTTTTTCTCTATACCTAGTTGATGTTTTTTTTTTTCTGAACTAATTAAGCTTGTAATACACAAACCATTATCAAAGTTACATTGTAAATTCATCTTCTGTGGTTTAATTGCTCCTGTTTCTCATATCTACTAGCATTATGGACTCTTGTTTTCTTTTTCGGTTATTGTACAATTCTTAGATCTGTTTGTTTATTTGAGTATCTAGAAAGAAAAAAAAAGTAGGTGTTTTAATTTTGTGACCCGGTTTACTGACTAGGCCGGTTGAATCGGCTTTTCGATACTATTTTGCCGGTTCAAAGCCGGGCCATTCCGAATCAAACGTTAAAAGTGGGTTTAAGAGGTTCTTGGATCAAAGAAGGGATTGGTCGACGGTTGGACCGACTGGCCTGGTCCGGGTTTCAAAACAATTTCGAGTTGAAAGATCAATATCCAGATAAATGGGTCGAATGAGGTAAAATGATGAAATTATATGGCTAAGTATAATATGTATCAAATAAAATAAGTTTTTAGAGTTACACAACCTTCACGTGACAAATACATAAAATTTGCATAACATAATTCAATACTTTAAATTATTTATTATTTCTATTAATATTAAAATAGGTGACAGGTGTTGTCCGCTGCCCACTAGAGCCTTGGACTGGCAAGGTAATTAGTATTACCTGGCCTAATGCGGCTATGCCCCAATCTAGGATATGACCCGAAAAAAAAATAAAAAAAAATTTCATAAAATATTTTAAAAAATTCAATTAATTGCGATATTATTTAGTTAATTTTTTTATATAATTTATTATCAGTTTTATTAATATTTTACACTTATATAAAAACAGAACCCCAATGTTTTGTAATTAGTAGTAAATATTCACACTGTAAGAATAAGACCTTAATCTTTATTCCATCAATGTTTTTATAACCTAGACCAGTCTTGACCCTTTGATCGAGTTTGGTCCTGGGTCGGGCGGCCTGACTGGTATGACCTGTTGCCAGACCGATGATGTCAACTTTAAAAATTAATAATTTCTAAAATAAGTCCATCCAAATCTAAAATCAAAATCAAAACCAAAATAAATAAATAAATCCAAAATTAAATTCAAGAATTTTAAAATGGTATATTGATGTTATGCTGGCATCATTGGTATGAGTGTCTATCCATTGGTCAGACCGACGATTCGACATTGTTCCACCGATTCAATCTTGGGTCAATCTGGTCCAACTGTTATTCAAGTTTAGGATACTCGAACCAAACAAGGGTCCGAATCTCGGTCGAACATCAAATTGGTCCGAGTTACAATGCATACATCTTCGTAAGGTTTGATTAATTAACATTTAACAAAAGTCCTTTTAAGATTTCAAAAATAATAAAATCTCTTCATTATTAAATTTTAATTTAAAAAGATACTTAGTAAATATTAATAAGCCAATGACATATACATATATCTTGACCGCTTGAATTTTTTTTTTTAAAATATCAGATAAATATTTGTTATTACAATATGGAATGTAAGGCCGATATGATAAGAATTCTTAACTCATAGCCGGGTAGAGATGTCATTTCAAGTGAAGAAATAATAATGGAGGTGTAGATGTACGGTAGACATTCGCATAATAAATGGGGAAATGGAATCAGTGAAGAGATACAAAGAGAGAAAAGAACAATCTGGCTGCTCTGCTCCACTCTCACGTCTATGCCAAATATAGAGCAATAACAAAAGAAGATAATTACTAACTTAAACAAAGCAACTACAGAAATAAACACTTCCATTTGTTTAGAAATACAACAAACCCACCCCTCCCCCCAAACAAAAATAAAATAAAATTATAATATAAAACCCAGCAAAACCAAGCAAGCCCATCACTGGTAAGTGTGCAGATGCAACCAACAGCTGCCGGAAGTAGCAGCTCAACGCCGGTGCGGCGGAAGTGAGGTGCTGCTGAACTGAGTCGAGGACCTGACTTGCGCGGTTCCGCTCAGCTCCAGCCACTTGGTTAGAAGCTCTTTTAGAAGAAGAAGAGGAAGACCCATTGAGCCTAACCAGTGCTTGACTCAGTTACTCAATAGTGGCGGTGCAGCCGATCCAGGACTCGTCATGGAGCCGGTTAGTTTTCCAGCGCAAAAGCGGCTCTCCTGCGGATTTATTTGGGGTATTTTTCAAACTTTGGAATCCCCCACTAACGGTTCTTGTCTCCAATTTGATGTTTCCCCCCCCGTAAGAGACCTAGAGATGAAATACTCAACAATCTTCGCCCAAGTTTCAGTCCCATTCGGTAAGCTAAGTTTCATCAGTGTAAGCTGCTTAATTGTTCTTCAGTTTCAATGTCTATTTGTGACATCCTGCCTATTGTTGAAGTTATGGGTTCGAATCAAGAGGGACGCACTCTAAACTCCACTATCTCGACAGTGGGCCGGGATGTTACTCTATTTCTTTTTTCAGAGCCAGAATCCCTCGACCTCACGAAACTTGTGGGATTATAATGGCTATTGGTGGCCTTGAGGGGATTTGAACCCTTTACCTCAAAGCTGGATCCTATGGGGATTTATTTTATCTTTGTTTTTTGATGAAATTTGGAAATGATGGCAAAGGGTTGTTTTTTTAAAAGAAATTGAGTTGTGTTATGTGTGGTTTTGATTTTTGGTAGAGAGGAAGCAAAGTGGTCAGGCACGGGGTGGGGTAGCAGTTTGATGGATATGGATATGGAGAAACTTTTGGAGGATTCAGTGCCTTGCAGGTGCGTGCGAAGCGTGGTGGTGCTACACATCCTCGAAGTATTGCAGAGAGGGTAAGAAGTCAGTTTAGCTCTGCGAATGTGGCAATTTATGAATATGTACTGTAGGTGTTTGAGTTAGCTCTATCATGAATTTCTATTTTGTTTGTTAGGTTCGGAGGACACGAATTAGTGCCCGCAAAGAAAGCTTCAGGAGCTTGTGCCAAACATGGATAAGGTAAATATTTGGTTTTATTGAGAAGAGAATTCTTTGAACTCAAAGATTTTAGTTAATTAATTTTGGTAATGGCTAATAGGCCATGGGACATCTGTATACCTAACTAAAATCTCACAAATTCTGCTGAAATGTAGGATACATATTTGAATCATTTTTGTAAGTTGAAATGACATGGAACGTTAGATATCTCATTTAGACCTATAAATTCCATATTTTGTTTTTAGAACCACTAAATATGCCTCTCATTTCCGTGCTTAAATTGTACCTTTTAAAGTTTTTACAGTTTCGTTATGTGCTAATAGTCTAGGTGATTTTGTTTGGGTTAGGCTTCCAATAGTTCTTTGATACTCACATTGCCTGAGATCAATCTGGCTACTGATTTTTCTCATCTAAATTATTCTTTTGAAATCTAGCATTGATTGTGATATTTGACTGTTGAAAAATCAGTAGAAAATTGAAATCAAATATCATAATAGAAGCAGAAGAATTTTGATCGGCTTACCTGATATTTTGTTTGTGAGGATGAGAATCACCTAATTTATTGAATTTATAAACCGAGAACCTACTTTCTTTTCAATGCTCTCTGTTTCATCTCTAAACCATAAGGTTACAAAGAGTTCATTATTTTAACATGTCTTGAGGTAGTCCCCAATCTTTGCAAAGCCATCTCAATTGTCTTCCATGGTGCAAGTTTATGTTATGAATTACATTTATCTTAATTCAATATTTCTTTTACCCAAGATGATAAGTTTTGAAATATAATTTTCAGAGTCATATTGGTAAAGGATTCAATTCTTTAAGAAACCTCACAAAGATATGGACTAAATACATATATTCTTTCTCCCTAGTTCTGTCCATCAAGCACCTAGAAGATGACTTTGGTCTTTCTTTTCAAACCTTCTTGATCGAACTTGTAGACCATGCCTGTGCGTCTTGAAAGAAAAAGGAAGAGAAATGGAACAAATGAAACCTTTGCCAAACTCGGGCCTGGGCTCCTATTAAATGGATTGAGTTAAAAGAAAACAAAAAGGGGAAAATGTTGCTGCAGTAGAGTATTGTATACAGAAGGTACTAAAATTAACGTTGTAATGTGATTAGAAACATAGTTGGAAATATTTGCATCCCTGATCATTTATGATAATGTAGGAACGAAGTAGATCAGATTTCTCCGATATTCTAAAAAATGAACTGAAGATCTACTTTTTCTGTTTGTATGCTTAACTGATTCAGAAATCTATTTCTCAATTATCATA